TTCGGCCAAGATAAGATAGGATTTCGGCCTGTGCACTGAGAACTAGCAGACGCGCTCGTACGCCTGAGATAAGACCTGAACACCTGGCTTAGTTGCCTCCTCTGTAAGGAAACTGTAAACATCAAGAGAATCGTGTGACTGGTTAACCCCGAGAATAAGCGGATCTGAGAGCAGACATGTGGATCGTTGCCAAAAGGAAGAGAGACTTTTTCTTAGTTTATAAGGGATACGAGTCGGGTGATGATTGAGGGAGACATTGGGGGAGACAGCGGGACCTCCCCGTTATGGTGAAGGATATATTCTGCTGTATTGTAACAATAAACGATTCTGTGCATGCATATGTGAGGGTCCGTGCAATCATACACCACATGGTAATACTTCTGTTCACTCTAAAGTGAACTGAAAATATTATTTTCTCAGAAGTCACAAAACAGTCATTGGGTGATAATGTTATTTGGTCATTCAACTCATGCAGCTACAACATCCCACAGTAATACTTCATACATCTACTGTGAGAAATCTTCTTTTGCACCGTTACTGCAGAGTATGCTTCATTGTTGAATAGATTCAAAACAAGACATTAAAAAGCTCATCAGCCCAGCTATCCCTCTTTAACTTTATTTATACAGTGTACTCTAATGGTTCTTTCAGAGCTACTGTGACATATCTAGGAATCCAGTCCAACAAATTTTTAATCTTGTCCTTACCCAAGTAATCCCATGGCTCTTACTCAAGAACTATTTTTTGGGGGAAGTTTGGGGGGCATTAAGCAGTTCATTAGCAGTATGAAAAATGTGTGGTAATACGCGCATATTAGTACTATTGAAAAGCATTTCCGAAGCAATCGCTCCATATGGGGGATTTTAAACTCTGCTTCCTTTTCACTTCCCGAAGAGAATTATATTTAGTAAAGCCTGTTACGTGTTACAATATAATTGTTTCTGTACAACAACTACTTCTAAATTATATGTTCATTCAATTACAAATGACAAATACTTCCTTTTCTACTTGTGTAATTATACTGCAGTTTAAGGTCTTCTATTTCAGAGCCACTCAGAATTTTCAGGGAGGTGAAGGTGCTGGTACCGCAGGGGCCTCTGTGGACAGTTTTCGGGACAGTACTGTGCTGTTGCCATCTAAGGCACCTTCATAGACTGGGTTGATTTGCTGCCTATTCACGTACTGGGTATCGCACCATCTTCCTGGAGTCGTGACCCAAGGTAGAGACTGAGTGAGAGCACCACTAAAATTAGAAGAACAGTGAAGTAACTGGGTGGTATAAATTAGGAATCACTTTTTTTGCCTTATTAAGTCTCCTTTATGCTAAAATTGTAACAGTGCTCCAGACTTATCAAAACTTTCCAGCTGGCTCTTAAATTTTTATGGGACTTTAAAAAAAAATTTAGTGCTCCTAAAAAAAAAAATGGCTAACACTGTCTTGAAGAAAACAGATTGCAGAAGCACCCTTACAAATTTCTGCTTCACTCATACTCCTGCTAAACTTGTAGAGCCAAAACCAGAGATGGTACAGGCTACAGTAACAAACGCTGCTCATTACATCTGTAGGTTGACTTTGGCTAATAACATTTCCTCTGAAACTAGGCCACTGACTGCTGGTCTTGCCGCATATGTGCTGGAAAGGACATTAATAATTTTCATTTCTTACCTCACACAGAGCTTGCACATACACTGCTGAAGCATTTCGTGAACATAGTGATTTGAGTCTGCTGTGTAAATTGAGTACTCTGAATAGAGTTTTACAACAGCAAAACTGATTTTATAAGAATACCAAATGAAAGTAGAATTTACTCCATAAAACATCTGTTTTCATTGGTCTTTAGATGAAAACAAAGTAAAAAGAGGACGGAAAATAAGTATTTGGGCCAAAGATACTAAACTTACAGGCTTAGGCTGAGTTGTAATTCCTTATTTAAATATCTAAATGAGTGGCCTAATCATCAAACATGTTGAATATTAGCTTATTCTCTAGCAACTTTCTTTACTGAGAGTTCTGCACAGTTGGTTATAAAACTAGTAATTTGGGTACATAAAATATGGTTTTAGGCACTTCTGAAAATATTTGACCCTTACAATACTATTTTTGTGAAGACATCTTTTCAAGTAAGAAGTAAGGAATTTTTGTATCCTGACATGTTCTTAAAACACTTTAAATTCCTTTTCTAAAAAAGTTACTATTTTTTTCGAAGAGCTTTTCACAAGAATAGAGTTACACAACCTAGTGGTCTGATGAAGAGTAACTGACTGCAAAATAATCTCTTTAATTTAGATAACTTCTTTCATTCATTCAAAGTCATTCTTCAGTTATGTGTAGGTTCTATTGCTAAAAGGTAATGTTCACTATAGTATGTGTTCACTATAGTAGTCAAATTCTAAAAATGACATGCTTAATGGCATATTCTTTTCCCTGAAATATTCATTACTTGTGACCCAAGAACTGGTTCAATGCCTGTCAAAATTATGGTACTTCCTAACAAAGTAAATTTTCCATCCATTTAACCATTTTTATTCATTTTAATACTGTTTCATCATGCATCACTTTTACTTGGTTTCAGATAGACATAAGAATTGACAGGATTCTGAAGACAATTAATCTGTCAGATTACTATTTTCCAGGTTACCTAAAAGCACTATTACTTGCATTCTGTTTACTTTGCTTCCAGAAGCTGCAGTGCTTCTTGCAGCTAATAATTTTTTTTCATAGTCTACTAGCATCCCATAAGCTTTACTTTTCTCACTTCTTAACTTTGTGGGGTTTGATAATTTCTGTTTTAAAAACATTTCACGCATACTTAGCGTGTGCTTCCCCTTAACTTCAGCCTCACAGATGATGAAGTTTTCTTTTTCAATGCAGTATAACATCATCAAACACATCTTATATGGCTCTCTCAACATCTTCCAGACAATTCTGTGAAGGTAATTGACAAATGTCCATTCTTTGTTTTGAAATAACCTTATTGTATCAAAGATTTGTGATACACGTATTTTCTTTCTAAACAAAGAAGACACTTGGGTTTCGATGAAATCGTATTTCACCTTAGTTTTCTAAAATATCTCAAAATGCGTATTTTCTAAAAATTGCGAACAGCATATGTTCACTGCAGATATTGGTCAGTTTTGAGAATAATGATATTTGTAGCATTGGTTTTTCCCACTTTACCACACATGTTAATTGCTGGTATTGTAGACTGACATCTTTACTCATGTTTATACCAAAATCATCCATCCAAATCAAAAGCTGAAGAGCCAAGAAGCTGTTTCTATCATGACAGCTCACTTGACCAAAGTAGTTTTGTGTAGATTTATTAGTACATGATATCTTCTGCTGTAACATTTGCTTCTTCTGTTTTAGTCTTAATTTTAGGGAAACGAATCCCACTAACGGCTATTAGCAGCAAATTTATTGCATGTGCTGTGGCACTTGCCACACAAAGCCAAAAACAGTCTTCAAACCATTCTTCTAAGATAACAAATTGAAACACATTTTCCCGAAAATTGGCAATTCTTTCTGTGAGGTGATGAAGTTTCACAGCAGCCATAAAGCTGGTGACTGCAAGTACTATAAATCCACCTGCAACAAAAGGAAAGAAATATTCACTGTTGTTGTCAAAACAAGACAGACATTTTGGTTGAGCTTCAGAAGGCTTATTGAATACAATAGTGAGCTGTATACAGAGTAGGAATAGACTTAGGCATGGCTTAGACACCTTCAAAATGCTTAGTCTTTATTGTATCGCCAAACATCACACCGGTGTTTGTAATGACGTCCTTTTATCAGTGACAGAGAGCTTAGAGACTGGCATTCATAGCTCCTGTAAAAAAGTTTGACTAGACACGATAAGCCGAGATGCCACCTGACAGTTCTGTTTTGATAGATGAGAATTCACTGCTAACTTCATTTTATTCACAAGTATTTAAGTCAAGGAGATATTTAGTAAGGCAAGAGAAGGAACTTGTAACATCTTGTATGAATGTGAAACGAATGATGAAAAATACCAGTAAATTATTTTACCTGCAAGGAGGTTCCAAAGGCATACTCCTGCTGGACCTTTAATAGCCCGGTAAGGAACTTTTATTGCGTTAAGAATGCAGAATCCAAAACTGACCAGAGAAAAGAAAATGGCCACACAGAGGAACATTATAATCATCACGTGCAGGCCTGTATTCAGCTTTTTCACCATGTGTGGGAAAACTGGCAAGAAAAAAAATCATCTATTCAGTGTGTATTTTTTCTTGACAACAGTAAACATCACGCTGTGCTGGTGCTACAAACTTAAATTATACTTAAACAAGACTTTTTTACAGAGGTGATCAATTCAGGTAGTTACACACATCTTAGTTCATGATGCTTTATATGTCACTACATCAGACAAACCAGGGATATTCTACAGGAATAATCCTTTACACAGGGTCTGTGAATAAGGATTCAGACTTAAGTCCTGTTTTATTTATCTAGTTGTGTTACGGTCTTTATCTCTGCTGCTGAATCGTCTGCTGCATTCTTTTCTGTCTCTTTTTCACCTCTGCTCTCCATCCCAAACTCCTTTTTTTGGGCTTCCCATTCCTGTCCCATGCTCTTAATCTCATCGCTTTGAAGTCTGATAGTCCCAGTTTCCTTGTCCAGCCTCTTGCTGTGTTTATTTTCTCATGTTAATCTTCTCTCTCTGCCTCTCTTTAATACGGCTCCAGTGAGATCTACTTTCATTTCATACTTCCTAATCCCACAGGTTTCCACTTTCAGATTCCCTTCTTGGTTTCTCGTCTGGTGTTTATGCTCCCTTTATGCTCTTCTGGGTATCTGGCAGCATTTTAGTTACATCTGTAGGAAGTTTGTAAAGTATTGCAGTCAGGTGGGCTTTAGGTGAAGTGCTCACATGTTTTGCTATAGGCATGAGCTCTTCCCCAGCAGCTTGTCGCTCACCTGTCTCTAAAGAACAGTAACTTTCTTGGTTTTGTCTTCACAGCCAGAGTTACTCCGTTGGAGGGCCAAATTGGCCAGCAGCAGGAAAGTGTGGAGCACCTGAGTATTCAGTTTATCTTGCAGCCCTTTAGTAACAGAGTCAGAAGAAATGTGAGTAGGGAATTGTAGGTGACATGCTGACTGACAGGAAAGAGAGAAGCTGATCGAGAAGAACCCTAAAATACAAGCTGATCAAGAAGAGCCCTTCAGGTAGTGTAGCATTGCACACTCATACATGTTTTGAAGGACTAACTGCCTAACTACTAAAAAGTTACTAAAAAGAAGGTACATTATATTATAAACAAATAAATAGATTGCTTCCTGTGCTGCATAACTGAAAAAAAAATCCAAACAAGCCCCATAAAAAGTAGGCAGCAATAACTGGGAGATGTCACAGTGAGTATCAGGTGTACATTTGGTCATCATGACATGACAGAATTATGTAGAAAACTTCATCCTGTACACATTCCATACAAAAATTCATGATTCGACAGTTCTACCTTTTCAGTAGCTCATTCTGGGGTTGCAGCTGGGCCTGGTGTACATGGGAGCTACAGAAGAGACTCCAACGACAAGAAGGAAAGAGGGAAGTAAATGAGAATCAGAAGTATATATGAGAAATGGGAAGCCAGAAGCTAGCTTGCTTGCTTAACTGGCTGAAGGGTAGAGCTCAAAGGGTTGTAGTGAATGGGGTTACACCTGGCTGGCGACCAGTGGTGTTCCTCGGGGTTCCATTCTAGGGCCAGTTCTGTTCAATACATCTATCAATGATCTGGATGCAGCATTAACAAGTTTGCTGATGATACCAAACTGGGAGGTGCTGTTGACTCTCTTGAGGGACAAGGTGCCTTGCAGAGGGATCTAGATGATAGATTGGAGCATTGGGCAATGATTAATGGGATGAAATGTAACAAGTCCAAATACTGAATTCTGCACCTAGGACGGAGTAACGCTGGGCACAAGGATAAACTGGGAGAGGAGTGGCTGGAGAGCAGCCCTGCAGAAAGGGATCTGCGGGTGCTGGCTGAGAGCAGGCTCAACAGGAGTCAGCAGCGTGCCCTGGCACCCAAGAGGGCAACCCGCATCCTGGGGTGCGTCCAACACAGCGTAACCAGCCGGTCAAAAGAGGCGATTGTCCCGCTGTATTCAGCGTTGGTGTGGCCTCACCTTGAGCTCTGTGTGCAGTTCTGGGCCCCACAATTTAAGAAGGATGTTCAGGTACTAGAATGCCCCCCAGACGAGGGCAACAAAGCTGGTTGAAAAGGTCTGGCAGAAATGTCCTTTGAGGAGCGGCTAAGGACTCTGGGCTTGTCTAGTTTGGAGAAAAGGAGGCTAAGGGGAGACCTCGTTGCTCTCTACAGCTTCTTGAGGAGGGGAAGTGGAGAGGGAGGTGCTGATCTCTTCTCCCTGCTATCCAGAGATAGGACGCGTGGGAATGGTTCAAAGCTGTGCCAGGGGAGGTTTAGACTGGACTTTAGGAAGCATTTCTTTACCAAGAGGCTGGTCAGACACTGGAACAGGCTTCCTATAGAGGTGGTCGTGCCCCAAGGCTGTCAGTGTTTTAAGAGGCATTTGGACAATGCTCTTAACAACATGCTTTAACTTTTGGTCAGCCCTGAAGTGGTCAGGCAGTTGGACTAGATGATCGTTGTAGGTCCCTTCCAACTGAAATAGTCTATTCTATTCTAAAATAACTGGCAGTGTAAGAAGGCGGTGCATGGAATTTAGCTTTCTTACAAACCAGCAGAGTTTTTAGGGTGGTTGTAAGGATTCTCTTGCCTCTTTTCTGAGGCTTTCAGCCAAGTCCCAAAGACATGACCAGTGAGCCTTGCTTAGTACACAGAAGTAAGAATCCTCAGGAAGGGTATTGCCAGGGAGGCTCCTGACACATTCCAGCTGTGTTTGCTATGCACAGGCAAAATGACTGGCTTCCCCAGCTTGTTCTCAGGGCTTGATGCAGTTGTCAAAACATAAGCATCTTATGCCAATTTAGAGGCCTTAGAACTACCATAACAACCACGTGGCTCTAACATACATGCCACACTATGTATGGGACACCTCCAGAAGCAGCAGCTGCAGGCCAGATGATACACCTTGAGGTGTTTAACATGGCACTGGACACCTATTATGGCAATTGAATCACGCCATCACTGTCCCAGTTAAAAGAGAGTGTGCCAGCTGCAAGCTTACTCTAGTGAATGTTACGCAGTGAAAGGCGATGTACTAATAACCCCATATTACTGCAATTCGGAATTCCAAAGTGTCAGAGCTACTGCAGTACTGCAGCGTATGAGGTGCTAGCTTTCTGTCTCGCTCTGTGCTGCCTGTGCAGTCTATTCATGCTAACACATTCCCCAAGAAAAGTCTCCCATGTCTTGCTCCCCAGTAAGTTCAGAATGCTCGGAGATTAAGGGGAACATTCAAAGAAAAAAAAGACAAATCAGACCCAGAAGACTCAGAAGTCCTGCTGACCATTGTGCAAAAGTATTTAACAGCTTTGTATACTATCATGATACCATTTTGAAACCAATATTGTGAAAGTACCAAACCCGATAGAGCTATTAAAATATTTAAAAGGGAAAATCTCTGGGACGCTTGTTTACCTAAATGCACGGTTGTGCCCACTGCACTTAATGACCAAATTTTACAGTTCTAACAGGGAGAATTCTTAACTAGCTTCAGTGAGAGCTTTGTTTGTCTAAGGAGTATAGGATTATGTCCTCCAAATACATATCGATGCAGTCCGGAGTGATGGTGGAACATTAGGCTTTCCTCTCAGGTTACACAGTAATTAATCAGAAAGTTTATTAAAGAGTCCAGAAAGTTGTACAGAGATTTAAAGGGGATTGGCTACTTTTTTCCTCGTCCTCTCTGACAGGATAGGGTAAAAGAATTGGGACTGTATTTCTGAATGCCCTGAAGAGAAGCAGAGCTGGACGAGCTTTGACCTGATGGCCTGTCTGCCAGCCATTCAAACTCACTAGACAAAGCATTTGAGCATGACTGCTGTGTCTATGTCATGTAGTTGCAGCTGCAATCAGAGCTTGAGCAAGACTTGGTTATTGTAAAAAGCGACTAGTCCAAATTCATCACAGCTTAGCAACTGGCCATGCTGATCTAAGTTGAGGTTGCTCTGGTTCTCTCCTCCATTCCCTCGTGAAGTCCCACAGTCCTGCCTTCCTTCGAGTTTTTATAGTGGTGCTTGTGCAGTTGTGTGGTCAGCCATGATCCTATGAGAAATGAATTTTTTTTTTTGTAGGTTAATTTTTTGGCCAGCTTAACTTCCTGAACTACCTCACCACAACAACTACCAGAGCCATTGCAAAGGATGGGGCAGAACAGCATTGCTGTGGGCCAGGGAGAGGGTGAGACTGCGGCCACTTCAACTCATTCTGGTTTAAGTTGCAGTGGATCTGCACACTGAACTAAAAATCTTCAATGCAAAATATCATTTCCACTACAGCACAGGATGTGTGAAGACTGGAAATCATCCAAAGAACAGATCAACATCTGAGTGCTTTTGAGACCTCAAGAAAATCTTTGTAAGTTAAAAGAAATACATTTGTAAGAGTTTCTACATCTTTTAAGAGTTCAGCAATTTTTTTCTCTCCAAAGTTACCAGAAAAGAAGGTCAAAATTTCTTCAACATGTTAATAAAGTTAGGAGTATCTGCTATGGCAGACATCTGCATTAGGACAGCTAGAGAAATACAGAAATCTGGCCAGCTAAATAAATCTCTACTTCTTAAAGGAAAAAAAAAGTGAGGAGTCCAACAGAGAAGACAAGGGCAGAGGCACAGAGAGACTGCAGAACAACACTTGGCATAGGAAAGAGTCAGTGAAGGAGCAAGTATGATTTACAGGGTCATCTCCAAATGACTTTCACTCCCTTCACCAGACTAAAAGGAAACCCTCAATCTAGCCCTAGGGATTTTTTTCCCATCTTGATTCCAGGATTACAGAACATAATTGGAAGAAAAAAGCTAGCCTGAAATGACAGAGATTTTATATTCACACTCAGTTCCCAAACCATAAAGACCACAAGTCAGCCACAAATATAAATTTAATAATAATCATTTGCATTCTGTAAGTTCTGTAAACAAAAAGAATAGAGTGCTTTTAAAGTTGAATGAGATATTAGACTAAAGATTCAACCAAAACTGTACTTACTTGTGAATTTGGAACGCCGCCCGCCCAACCCACACTGGCGTATTTTGCCGCCCCGAAAGAGTCCATAGTAAATTTCTCCAATGAACTTGACCAGTTCTGGATCTGTGGCATTGACCAAATCAGCTCCTGTTTTGCAAAGGATCTTTCCAGTCATCCACTTTGGGGTCCCCATTGCAACAACAATCAAGATAAAAGACACAAAACTGATTAAAGAAGCCAAGGCAAACAAAGTCTTTTTAAAACAGCCGGGCATCCTAGTGGTTTCAAGGAATTGTCTCCAAGGCCTCTCTGCAGCAGTCAGGCATGTTTCCCATTTTTTCTCATGCTTCAAAATCCACAAATGAATAGCAGGCATTTCAAAATACATCTCATTGTTTTTTGAAGCTCCAGAAAACAATCTGTATGGTTAAAAATTAAGTCCAAAAATATATTTTGCTGCGACAACATCCTGAAATGGTGGCAAGTAACAGCTTCATTACACTGTAGTGCAGTGATGCTTGTTTCTGCAGAAAGTAACCCTATATCTATTGCCTGGCTAATGTTTCATCAGAGGTTTAATTGTCGTGCTCAAATGACATCAAGTTCCTTACCGTAATAGCATGGGAAGAAAATTAGGAGCAGAATCGTTTTTTAGATTATTAAAAACGTGGGTAAATAGCTGTGTGCAAGGGACAAAGCGCCAAAACCGCGTAGCACCAAAACCGCGTAATTTGGCGCCAGGATTCTGCTGGCGCCTCAGCCGCCTCGCGCTGCCTTCTCTCGGCGCCTGCTCCCGCCCCCCTCTAAATGGCGCTGCTGTCGGAGCGGCCCCGGCCGGCCGTACGCCTGGGAGCGCTGCCCTGCCGCCTCCAGCCCGTGAACGGAGGTACAGAAATGATGTTTCAGGGTGCCGAGGTTTCACGTATGAATCTTCCGATTCAACAACGGGTCGCACA